GTCTATTCTCACACTGCTATAAAGAACTACCTGAGACTGGATAATTTGTAAAGAAAAGAGGTTTAATTGATTCACCATTCCACAGGCTGTACAGAAGGCATGGCTAGGGAGGCCTCAGGAAACTCACAATTATGGCAGAAGGGTGAAGGGGAAGCAAGCACCTCTTCACATAACAGCAGGAGACAGAGCGTGCAAAGAAGATTGGGGGATGTTACACACTTTTCAAACAACCAGATCTTGTGAGAACTCTATCACAAGACAGCACTAGGGGGATGGTGCTAAACCATTAGAAACCACCCCCATGATCCAACCACCTCCCTCCCACCAGGCCCCACCTCCAACACTTGAGATCACAATTCAACATGAGATTTGAGTGGGAACACAGAGCCAAAGCATATCAGCTTGGGATGACAGAAAGCCAGTATTTCAGCCAAAAACTAATGCTAAAGAGAAAAGAGTAAGGAATGAACAGTCTTCTGCTAGGTGAAAGAACAATGGAAGGTTTTTCTATCTTCTATAACTTGAGTGATAGATTGATGGTGAGTGCTTGCCTATGGCAACAGCTCTCAAACACGTTTTACATTATTCTTTTGGAAGTGGTATATCAAAATAATTCCCTAACCCCAAAACAAAGAATTTATTGAAACTATTTGCTGTTTAGTAGAGAAAGAAACTACAGAGGTTCAATATACCTGAGATGAAATCCCAACCCATCATTTCCTGGCTATGTAACCTCAAGCCCAGCCATTAACTTCACTGAACATCATTTGAAGATAATACACATCCATAGTCTCTTACATGAAGTTCTTGTGACTAGATTTCAGGGTTTTTTTTTTAAATTTTATAATGTTATGCATATACTGAATTTTATATGACACCCCTAATGTCTAAGGTAGCACTTAGTAAGCAAACATATTGATATTCCTTCAGCAAAATATATCAATAATCCACTGAAAGAGATAAATAAAATGTATTACTATTTTCATGGCATTCAAGTCAGGTATTGTCACCAAAACTATAAAAGGAACTTTCCAATATAGAGCCTTCTAGATTTTGGCATTGCAGATATGGGATTAGTGACCTACAAATATATTCATCATAGAGTGATAGTGACAGATGAATGACATACAGAGGATAGGCATCTGTGTGACTATCTCGGGTGGATTATAAATGGCCCCTCATGCAATCCAAGGACAAGCAAGGAAAATCTTTGTTGAGCAGAATTCCTTCTTCTAAGATAACCAACATCCAGTTGTCAAGTGACCTGAGAGACACAGCTGGAAAGGTCTTCCACTCTATATTTCCTTCATATCTTAGATCTCAGAGCCCTGTGGGAGCTGGCTTCTTCGCAGCTTGGGGAAGGGGAAAAAGGGAAGGAGAACAGGGGAGAGAGGTGTATATCGGCAATGTTTTCTTTCATAAAATCTCCTCCTACCTTCTTTTTCCTCACTACTCCTCCTGCAGGAACCCCCTGTGAAGAGGAAAGTGCTTTGTAGATTACAGTTTTAAGGAACATTTGCCACGATGATTTCTTTAACCATGACAGTAGCCAATGAGGGGGAAAGTCTTAACCTACTGTTTGCATGTTTGCAGTTAGTGCCAGGATTTAGGTTTCATACTTTGTGTATTCGCTCTAGGAGGATAACATCATTCTGGGAATTTTTCTGCCTCACGTCAGATCCCTCCCAGGGTCCAGGAAGACCTCCATCTCTTCTTAGTTCAAAGCTCATGTCTGCCTTTCCAAGCAACCCACTAGCTTCCTGTTTCTAATTTGAAGAACACCTCCAACTCTGCCCGGTGACTCATTCAAAAACATCCCACACACATCCCGTCTTCAATCCCCCTAGGGATCCACCTTCCTGAATTCTATTACTATGGGTTTTACAATAGAAAATTGCTTCACAGTTTCAGCAGTAAAGGCAGCCATTCAGCTATCACAGTGAGCAAGGATTTGTTCTCTCGTGGTTCCTGTGCAGCTTAATAGTAGTCATAGATAGTGACAGATATCAAATCTGTCACTTATATACCTAAAATCGCTGCATGAAAATGCAGCTTGATTTGAATCTAAATTCTAATTTTCAAAAGCCCCAGTGACACAAACTGAGACAAGGGTTTGGGGGAGAGAACAATTTCTGTGGAAAGACAACCATTCACCAAATATCTTATGACTTAGACATTGTATTTTGTAAACATCTTCTTTAAAAGACTATAGTAAGTCAGGATAGGAGTAATCATTTTAAATAATCCAGTAATTAAGAATGGCCAACTGTGGCTGCTATCATTTTGGTTCAAATTTCAAGACTCAACAATTGTGTGTGTGTGCATATATATATATATATATGTTCCTGTGTGTTTGCATATGTGCATGTAAACCTCATGCCTTAGATGAATTCAAAAAGCATTAAAACATGGTTTATTCCTACATTGTTGGAAAGAGTAGTTTTCACAGGTAGCAGAGTTATCCAGGTATCTTCTACAAGAAAGACTAATTTACATGATTATTATTTTTAGCAATTTAACCATATTCTTATTATCTCATAGGCCATAATTTTAATCTGATTCCAAACTTCACCTGTGGGCCCACTGTCATTGTACATGTTATAAATGTAGATTCTATCTTCCACATTGTATAATGTGTTACTATAGGGCTACTGGGCTTCCAAACACCAGGTGGTGAACACTTGGAGAAGTCAAGATGCCATCACCATGGGGACAAGATGTTGGTCCTTCTCAATGCAATCAACACACTTCCTCTTTCAGAAATACTATTTCCACTATAAAATAAATGAGCTTAGAAATGGAAGTTTTTGTTTTAAAAAAAAAAAAGACTATTTTCTTAAAACTATTTAATAGTGATAGTAGAGGTTGACATGCAAAAGATAAGTATTTAGTAAGGCCGAGGTTTTAAAGACTTGTTTCTGACTTTTGCTTTCTTCACTGGCTAGTTGTAGGTGAGGGAACGATTTTTAAATACCCCAGGCTGCACTGCTCAAATGTTTGTCCTATGTGGTAGGTTACAAAATGACCATGAATTATTTCTCTTTATTTTTCTATAGCCATTTGCACTTAACTTAGGAATTCTTGCCCTTCCTCCTTAAATATGGGTGGCGATTGTGCCCTGTCTGACCTTGTCTGACTGTGGCAGAGCTACAAGTGCACCAGTAGTATACCCTGGGTCCAAGGGCCTTGCGTTCTTCCACTCTTGTTCTTTTTCTTTTCTATCATATTTTATGTTCTAGGGTACATGTGCACAAAGTGCAGGTTTGTTACATATGTATACATATCTTCCACTCTTTTTCTTAGGATCCTGCCCAGTTTCCATGTGAACATACCTGGGCTGTCTTGAAGGAAGATGAGAGACGTGGCCCAGGCATCTCCATCTTCACCCCAGCCTATAGCCAGCAAACCCTCAGAAGCAGAACTGCCTAGCTAATAGGCAGCTGACTGCAAGCTAGTGAAACCGGAAACACCACTGACCCACCGAATCATGAGCTCAATAAACTTGTGTTTTAAGCTACTAAAATTTTTACATGGTTTGTTATCTAACAAAAAGCAACTATATACCATATTCTTCTTCATTAGTTCCATCAGTTTTGAAGGACATATTTGTAAATACAAAGATGCTGCTGGATTCTTTTTGCTTAGTTTAGTTTTGTTTTATTTTTGTTTGCTTTTTAAGATGGGGTCTCACTCTGTTACCCAGGTTGGAGTGCTGTGGCGTGATCTCAGCTCACTGCAACCTCCACCTCCCAGGCTTAAGTCATCCTCCTACCTCAGCCTCCCGAGTAGCTGGGAGGACAGGCACGTGCCACCAACCTCAGCTAATTTTTTGTATTTCTGGGAGAGGTGAGGTTTCACCATGATGCCCAGGCTGGTCTTGAACTCCTGAGCTCAGGTGATCTGCCCATGTCAGTCTCCCAAAGCAGATGCCACTGAAATCTTAACACCAAAGATTAACACGTGCCTTCTGACTGGACCACTAGATGCTCTTTCTTGTCGCAGCCATCTGTCATCCCTCTAGTAACCCTCTCTCTTCTACTTCATTCACACATTAATTAGTGAAAGATTAGTTTGGAGCAATATGAACACTTACAGAAAACCCCAAGCAGATATATGCACAGGCATAAACAAATTCACTTGCTCTCACCCTGACATGAATGGATAGCAAATAGTTTCCTTTCATTTATGAATTCAGATCATTTTATGCCATATTCTGCAAAGAAAAAAAAAAAAACTTAATCCAGAGGAACCATTCCTCTCTCCCATTGCAGACTTATTGAATGAAATCACCCTTTATCTTCCAAAGGTAAGAGGAGCGTACTACCATGAATTCTATGGAGAAGACACACACACACACACACGCACACATGCATGCATACACACATACACACAAAGGAAGTGAAAGAAAACTGTATAACTACCACGTCTGGAGCATACAAAGGAGATCATCATCCTCATTTTATTTGTCAGTGGTTCATGGCCTCTCACATAGTGGATAGCACAATTAAAATTAAAATATCATGGATTTTTATTTATCTCTAAAGCAGCTTGTCCCAGGATGAAAAAAAAAATCATTTTAATGTTTTTCTCTTTCCCCTACTCTGTGTATGCCATCTTCCCCTCTCTTTTCCTCTACCACAGGGACACGGGGAGCCATGTGTTGAGGCAGTGGCCTCACACATTGCAGGAACCGGAATCCCCATGTCACTCTCACGAAGGAGAGCGGCCCTGGAGACTCATCTGGCACACATTTGATATCTTATGAGCAAGAAATAAATCATTACTGTATATATTAAGATTGGGAGCTGGTATTATAGCTCCAAACAACCACCACCAAAAAAGCCTCTTCTCATGAAGTATTGAGGCACACGAGTATGCTGGCTGATAGAAAGGGTTCTCCAGAAAGCAGGAGGGCACTGATGCAGGAGGTCGGGGACACAATTGCAGGAGCAATTTCCTTGAGTAGGCAATCCAGAGCTCAAGCAAACAGCTTGCCTTACCTGGACATGTGAATGATTCATTCCTTTTACAGACCAGATGTCATAGTGTTCAGAAGGTGGGAAGTTAGTAGATTTGGTGGAGGTAGAATCACGCCATCTTTTTCGATTACTTCTATTTTGGCCTAGAAAAAGAAGCAAATCATCAGCTGAGAATTCAGAGGGGATTGGTAGTCTGAGGACCAAGAAGATGGTCTAAACCAGCCTTTTCTGAGAAAAGGAGATGGAAGGATTAGAGGAATGTTGAAAATGAGATAGCCCAGCATGGACTACATGGGGGTTGTTTTCTTTTAGCCATGCTTAGCTGCTTGGCTATAGGCTTAACAAGGAGGAGAGTTGGATATACTCATGGTGGAAGTTTTGCCAGACAAGAATTATAACATATAGCAGACAGACAGGAGACCAGAAAAAAGAAAAGAAGTGTAGAAAACCACTATTATTCTTTTGACCACAAAATGTGAGCTGAGAAGGGGAGGTAAGAACACAAGGATATTAGAGGAGTGTACCATTGTTAGAGTATACTAGTGTGCTAGTATTAGAGGAGTGTACTAAACTAGGGCAAACTAGCCCTAGTTTGCTAAGGCTGCTATAACAAAGGATCACAGACTGGTTGGCTTAGACAACAGAAACTTATTCTAAAGTCTAGAAGTCCAAGATCAAGGTGCCAGCATGGTTGTTCCTGAGGCCGCTCTCCTTAACTTGTGAATAGCCATTGTATTAGTCTGTTTTCACGCTGCTGATAAAGACATACCTGAGACTGGGTAATTTATAAACAAAAAGAGGTATAATGGACTCACAGTTCCACATGGCTGGAAAGGACTCACAATCATGGCAGACGGTAAGGGCATGCCTTACATGGTGGCAGGCAAGAGAGAATGAGAACCAAACAAAAGGTGAAATCCTTTAGAAAACCATCAAATCTTGTGTGACTTATTCACTACCACAAGAACAGTATGGGGGAAACCGTCCCCATGATTCAATTATCTCCCAACCGGTCCCTCCCACAACATGTGGGAACTATGGGAGCTACAATTCAAGATGAGATTTGGGTGGGGACACAACCAAATCCTATCTGCCATCTTCTTCCAGTATCTTCACATGATCTCCCCTCAGTGCCTTAATTTCTTCTTCTTATAAGAACATCAGTCACTTGGATTAGGGCTCACTCTAATGCCCTCATTTCAGCTTAAGTACCATTTTAAAAACCCTGTTTCCAAATATGGTCACATTCTGAAGTACCAGGGCTTAGGACTTAAACACATAAATTTGGGAAAGACACAATTCAGCCCATAACAAGGGGGTTAAGATGGAAAAACAAAAAGTGATGGCCAGTAAGTGAGATGCTGTTAATTGAGGTTTCAGAGGTAAAGGTCTAGAGGATGATGAAGAGAATAGGTGTCAGAGGTAAGGAAAAGGCAAAACATTTTGAAGGGAAGAGGTCAAGAACAAGGTATGAGAAGAACTGTACTCATGGCTATTGAAGTCACCAAGACAAATGACAGAAGACATGAAGGAGAAAAATGCAGTAAATCAAAATATAGTGAGTGCTAAAATGTTCCATTAGCATGTGTCTGCAGAGGGAAGGAAGGATGACAGATGACTGCAACAGGAAGGGGATCCGATGGTGCAGTCAGATGGTATGAGCTTTAAGGGAACTGAGGAGTTGTTGGGGAAAAGTGAGGAAAGCAAGAGAAAACCTTATTCTGGGAGAAGAAGTGAGAAGCAAAGGATGTACTATCATACCTTCAAGCCCAGAAGCACCTGGGATGTAGGGGAAAAAAGAGCCACCATTTCAGAACTCAGGGGAAGCAGTGACCTTAGGAAAAGCCAATTTTACTTAGAACGAGAAGTCAAAGGGAAATTTATGAGCAGAGATTGAAGACGGGGAGTTTTTAAATCTCAGAGACAGACACTACTAATATCATTCCCCTACTCTTTTAGCCATGGGGAAGAGAGGATTTCTCAGCCCCCTTGTGCTTAGGCAAGGTCATCTGAATATTTCTGGCACAGAAATGTGAGAAATGACATGTGTCACTTCTAGGCTGAGACAGTGAAAAACCCATAAGCAAGTCTCTCATTTCACTCTTAACCTGTTGAGGCCACCAAGAAGGCTTCCTTTCCAGATGTTTTTGACAGAAGATTGTGAAGCCCTTGTCAGCTTCATCTCTGGGTGACCCTGGAATACTGACTTCCTGCTAACCAGTGTAGAATATGAAGTGAAAAATAAACCTTTGTTTTATAAGGAACCAGTAGTGTTTTAGGGCACTGTGTGTATGTGTGTGTGCTTGATTTGCTACTACAGTAAAATCTAGCTTCTTCTGATTTATACACACACTGTGAATTCCAGAATGTACGGCAGAATTGTTGGGAAGGCGGGGAGACTGGAACTCATCAGAGATTGTGCACAGGTATATTAAGAAAGTGAGAATAAGGGTCTTAGGGATGGGGCATGAGTGGGAGGCTTGGGTTTTTTGCAGTAACTGAGGAAAGTGAGGATGCAGGGCTTGATGACATCCTGGAGAAAGTGACGATTGAGTGTTACTGTAGCCTCCTTCAGTGGGTCTCTTGGGCACTTTGTGGTGGAGAGATGGGGAATGTGGTCAGGAGTGAGGGGCACAGATGATGCCACAAGGAGTACCCAGAGTCCTGTGACTGGCTCCTTCCACCTCCAATATCCTGTCTCTGGCAAAAGGAAGATGTTACCATGATGTTAATAATTAAGGAGATTCTTACAAACTAAGACTCCTTGGAACACATACTGGAAAATTCAAGTCCAGAAGCATATGGAATAAAGCTTCTATGTGATTTGATATCTATCAGTCATAGGGTCTCTTGAAAATAAGAAAATGTGAGAACACCACAAAAAGTTTGTTTTGTGTGTGGAGAATATAATTTTCATGCCAGGTCATCTCACAGGTAGGTCTTTTTCCACTTAAAGAGGGAAGCTTCCAGCACAAAAGACATGCTTCCATTTCACCTCTAAAGTGATAAATCAACTAAGTGGGACCACAAGACTACATGAAACCAATTATCCAATGTCCAGGCCTGTTAGGTGAGCCAAATAATAGGTTAGAGGGCAGACAAGTGCAGAGATAAACCGGTATAGTTTCAGGCAATGCAAGGAAAGAAAACACAAAGGATACAAGAAAAAAAAAGTGGATGGTGATGAAGCAGACAAGGCTGAAATCTCAAAATGAAGGGCTGGAGTGGAGAGGAGGGGGAAGTCACAGTATTAAGACATACAGTAGCAAGGCATGGAACAGACAGCTTCCTTCAGTGAAGATGCTTGGGAGAGGAATCACAGAGTCACAATGAATAGCATAAGAAAAGAAGCAGGAAAGTTAAGAAATTGCCATCGGGAAGTTGCAAGTCCTCCCAACCTCTACCCATTGCACAAACTCCATCCAAAGGAAAAGACTAGGAGACAGGGATCAAAAGCACATCAATGGAAACAGGGATATAATGAGGCACAACAAGGGCCATGGGCCCCAGAGAAAGGCCAAACTCCCTGAACCTTAGCTTTAATCGTCAAATGATCTTAACTTCTGTGTTCCTCAATCGCCTCATCTGTAAAATGGCTATGACAATTGTATTCACTGCCTAGAGTTGTTGTAGGAATGAAATAAAATGGCACCTACAAAGAGACAACAACATGTACACTAAATAGAGAATGTTGTGAAGAAGAATAATTCTCATTCCCAGAAAGCAAGACTGAAATGTTGAAGAATCCTTGGATGGCTAGAGAATATCTGCCAGCTCTCAATATGAGAAAAGATTTTTGGTCTAACTTACACTTAACCTTGTGTATTTTATGTTTCATTCAACTCCACAGTAAATTCAGTTAATAGTCTACCTACAGGGTAAATATCCTCTTCTGCTAAAAAGCGAAGTAAAGAACACTAAAATGATACTGAGAAATGGAGAATGCCTAAATTCCAGTGGACCCTAATGATCATCTGATCATGAGCCTGAAGCCCAGGGCAAAAAACAACCTGTGATTATGCCAGCCTACTCCCCCACCTACTGGCAGGAAAACTTGAATGTATGTGTTTAGGAGGCTCTTTAAACTATTGATGCCCGTCCTCCTCCACCTCAAAAGAAAAAAAAAAGCACCACTGTCAATACAGACAAGATGAGGCACAAGGCAGGAGGACCACCGGTGCAGAGAGGGCTACCATGGGACCACTCCTTAAGTCTGTACTTTTCTAGGAGGAGCAAACCCAGGTGAAGCCTCTTTAAGGCCAGGGCTGACACCCACATCTGTGAGTACAGTGGATACACAGCACCCACTACAAGCTCTAACATAAATCTGTGGCAACTCTTGGTTGATTGGTGAATTTTTTTAATGGATAATAGTTAGTGGATTATGCATAGTCCTAGAAGTTGTGCTAACTCTTTTCTATTCCTTTGGTTCAAAAACGCTTATTAAAAACTTGCTATATCCCAGGCTGTGCCTGAAGTAAGGCCTGAGGTTACAAAGGCAAGAAAGTGCCATGTTAGTTTGCTAATGCTGCCATAACAAAGTGCCACAGACTGGATGGCTTAAACAACAAAAATTTATTTCCTCACATTTCTAGAGGCCGGAAGTCCAAGATGAAGGTGCCAGTAGGGGTAGTTCCTTCTGAGGAAGGAGGGTCATGGGGAAAGGATCTGATGGAGGCCTCTCTCCTTGGCTTCTAGATAACTATCTTCCCCTTAGTTTTTCCATGTCTTCCCTCTATGTGTGTCTGCATCTAAATTTCTTTTTCTTACAAAGACATCAGTGCATATGGGATTAGGGCCCTCCCTAATGGCCTCATTTTAACTTAACTACCCCTATGAAGACCTATCTCCAAATATGGTCAAATTTGAGGGTTATAACTTCAAAATGTAAATTTGGGTGTTGGGGAAACATTACAATTCAGCATATAGCAGATGCATTCCTTGTTTCAGAATGCTCATATTCAGTTGTTCACTGACATGCCCTGAGAAAGGCCTGGGAAGGCCAAAAATGTGATGCTATCCAGCACTTGCCATGACAGACTCCTACTGCCCACCAAT